CTAACTAACTAACTAACTAACTAACTAACTAACTAACTAAATGAAAACAGACAAACAAACCAACTAACTAACTAACTAACTAACTAACTAACTAACTAACTAACTAAGACACCCAGTATTGTTGAATATGAAACACCATGGGTGTTAAATTAACAAGATAGATCTTCACAAAAACACTGGAGATGTTTTAGGAGCGGGCAGGCCTGTCACTGTAAAGATGCACTTAAAGAATACTATCTGTCCATGAGCTTCAGGTGTAGCAGAAACACTCCAGTGTTTTTATCTTTTTGAAATTAATTTGAGAAAATTACCTTTTTAGATTAAAAAATGAATGTGTACCCATATAAAAGCTTCTTTTAACTAAACAATTATTGCGAAACAAGCTTTCATTGTCAATTTCATTGACTTGTGCAATGACAAAATAAGACAATGAAGACTATTCTAACCTATTGTAAAAATGATAAAACATTAAAATCACATTATGAAAACACCCATTTAATAGAAAYGAATCAAAGTAAGCCATTTAAATTATATAAATCTGAAATTTAATGAAAAAAATAAAGAGTTCAGAATAAACTATTACACAAAATGTCAGAGTGAAAGGATTTTGTCTGTCTAACATTAAATAAAGATACTGAGTTTATTTTCACATCCTGTTTGATGGGCTCCAAAATATTTGTTTCATTTATTTCCACACATTTGTGTTTTGTTAAACAAAGWGAGGATGGCTCACAGTCAGAGGCTATTCTGATGGGAAGAGCAAAGACTTCAGATCATGATTTTCTTTATTGAAATGAATTTTACTTTGAACTCTGTAACCGGAAGTCCTCTGCGCACAGTCTGCGCGCGCGCGCCGGGGAAGTGGCTCAGATGCTGAGCAGTCAGTCGGACCTCCTCCATCTCTCAGCTGTGAGCGTTTCACAACTACTGTACAAACATTATGTTCATGTAAAAATAAACAGAACGTGAGCAGAAAGAAGTAAAGGATGAACAAAGACGGYGAGAAAGGCGCAAAGACAGCGCTCCGCAGCCAGAAACAAGCCAGGACTCAGCAGCAGGTTTTGGTTCAGAAGAAGAAAAAGGATCCGTCTGTTAAAGACGCACAGAGCGGCTCCTCTGTAAAGGAGACCCGGTCGGATCAGTGGACCTACACAGGGGATCCCAAACCAGCGGGACAGCAGGGAAAGCGCGCGGCCAAAGCGTCTCCGACTGTGAGCGGCTCGGAGGGCCAGAGGAGCCCCGGCGCGCGGAGGAAACTGTCKGACGCCAGCATCGCCTCGGAGGACCTGAGCAAAGACTCCGGCTGTCCGTCCGGGAAACTCTCCTCCTCGGACAGCAGCTCGGAAATCTCCGACTGCGCCTCCGACAAACGCGACTCACCGAGCAGCGACACCGACCTCAGCTGGATCCACGGCGGGGCTTATGTGACCCCGAACAGCAGCGGAGCTCCGTGCGTAAAACCTGCGCCAGATCCCTGCGCGCTGCAGCCGGAAGATGCTGCTGCTGCGGGGGGCTTCGGTCTGATCAAACCCGCCTTTATGGATCTCATGATGGGGGAGACAACCGAGGAGCTGCTGAGGGAGGTGGAGGACCTGAGGTCAGAAAACGAGTACCTGAAAGTAAGCGGACTTGTTCAGTTTATTCTTTGTCAAATGTGGACTTATATAAATCATTCTGTTCAGCAGGACATTTTGATGTGTTTAGATTTGGAATAACTTTGTGTTTGTTGGTTTTAGGATGTGATTCTCTACAGCAGAGGGGATTAAGCCTCTTAACCTTCATTAGAGAGGATYTCAAACAAGAAAAAAAATCAGGGGCAGCTTCAGTTGCTTTTTAAAGGAGACATTAAAATAAAATCCAGCTTCTTATACTTGGACCTTATTGTGGTTGATTGTTACCTACCCCTCACTTCTGTGAAGTTTWCTTTATTCAATTTCATCCATTTTCTTTACCTGCTYCTTCTGTCTTTTAGGGTCACAGGGATAAGGGAWACAGCCTGGACCGGTCACAAGTCCATCACAATTTCCAAACAGCTCCTTTCTCACCAACACGATTTAGTACAATCTAGGATCGGCAAATTTTTAGGACTTTTTCAGGACTAAATACGATCTGCCTTATGACTAAACAGTGGTGTCTCCAGAAATGTTTGGGGTGGTCATGTGGGGCCTAAAACCCCTGGGGTGGCACCAAATGRTTTAACAGAATTTCAGGAGATTTGTCATGGTGTTGTCATGTTAGAAATACAACAATGCTGCAGCTATTCCAGTTTTTAGGGGTGTCCATGCTGGTTTTCTTCACACAACTACGTTAATGAGAGTGGGTTTTCACAGGTCTGGATGTCGATTTTCTTAAGAAAATGTCYCCTTTCTCTGGATTCCTCTCTGTGTATTTCTGCACCAGGATGAGGTGGAGGAGCTGCGCTGCGAGGTGCTGGAGATGCGCGACCTGTTCCAGGAGGATGAGGTGTTCCAGCTGCAGGAGCTGCGGCTGCAGCTGGAGCAGGCCAAGAAGACGTGTCGCATCCTGCAGTACCGCCTCCGCAAGGCCGAGCGCCGCAGCATCCGAGTGGCTCAGACCGGACAGGTGGACGGGGAGCTGGTCCGGAGCCTGGAGCACGACATTAAGGTCCGGGGGCTTGGGGGTGGGTGCCTTGAAAGTCACCAACGGCAAAAAAGCTCATTTTGGTTTGTGAGTGACTCACTTCTTCACCAGATGCTGTCATGAAAGTCATGCAGTGCCACAGATTTCTTCTTGTTTCAGGGCAGCAGTYGTCATGGGGCTCACAGGAACAGCTTCTCTGGTTGACTGTGCTCTGATTCATGAGCTGTAAAGTCATTCCTGCTGTTCCTCAGCACCACAGACGCTTCATTACAGTCAAATCTCTTCCTGATGTATCCTGTTTATATTTTGATCTTGCGGCAGTGTAATTATGTGGTGAGCTGTTCTCCGTAAGGCAAAGCAGGGTGATACTTATTAAAACACTGAAGGTCAGTCAGTGGTAGTGTGTGTGTGTGTGTGTGTGTGTGTGTGTGTGTGTGTGTGTGTGTGTGTGTGTGTG